GTGCCGCGATTCTCATCAGTCTATGTTGCACATTTTCTTATTTTACCTGACTGCAAGTTTATGAATCTCTCTATAGTGCAAATTCCCCTACATATGAGATCTCTGCATGTGTGATCTAAGGGTTGATTCTGAGTTAATCATTTCTCTCTAGCTATTTAATTTCCATCCTTCTATTCTCTTTTTGGGGTGGTTCAGAACAAGGGTACGTTCTCCTTAGTGTTGCAATTGTTAAGATATTAACCAATCAATCCCGAACCTATATCCTAATTTCCATATTTGTTATCAAGGAAAACTGAAGGAAAGCATATAGTAAGGCTGCTTACCTTTGGTACAAGAAAGTTAGAGTCACTCCTAATCGTTAGATGTGAAATTGGGTGACTGGGGGTGTGACATTGATTGCGCTTGAAGTTTGAGTTAGCTTTTTCTTGAAATTTGGGCAAAAATGTAACACATCCGTAGCTGCTGGATTTTACATTGATTGCAAGGGTGAGTGTCCTTGTTCTTAAAGGTCAACAGTCTTGTAATACACAATCCGAAAGACAAGTATACATCATCTTTCTCTTATGCATGAGATTTTCTTGAAATGCAGGTAACCTATTGCCCAGACTGTGGCAGAGCGTGCAAATACGATACGAGATCGGTTTTAGGCAGTGGCGAAATCATCAAAGGTCAGGATTTCTTCAACCATGTCTTTGGGTGCCTTTTTCTTAATGAATCATCTCACTTCACTCCACTTTGAGCATGCATTCGAGTCGGCTTTCCCCCTTTTTATGAAAAAAAATCGACAAGATGTCCTTTCAAGGTTTTCTTTGGCCACGCTGATCTTTTGGCAATCCACCCAATACTTTTAGTTCTGCCACACTAGTATGGGGACCATGATGAATTGCTTTCGATGGATTACTAGAAACATGGGTGGCCAAACCACCCCTCTCATAATTTTACTGTTTTTTAGGTAATTTAAGAACACTTGTTAATTATTAAAAGTGGTTGTACCATAATTTTACAGTTTTTTTTTTGGTAATTTAAGAACACGCGTTAATTATTAAAAGTGGTTGTTGGGTTTTTGTTTTTTATTTTTGTTTTGCAAGGAAAATTGACGTGTACTTGTGGTTGGCACACGTTAGAAATGATGCACGTTGTGCAATATGTGAAGAGGAAGATTCTGAATGCTAACTTATATGCTTAATGCACTAATTTTGCCCCAGCCCAAGTTCTCTGCCTTCTACAACCAGGGGTGGTCATCTTTTTCGGGACAAATGTATGAAGAGATCATTTATTTTTGGTTCAAGGGGGTCACAAACACTTTTGTCCATTAGAGTGTCATTCAGTAGGCTCAGTTTTTTTTTTAAAAAAATTGAATTTTGTGGCATCCCAAGCTATCAAATTTGACATATAATGGCTCGAGTAATTGTGACTCTATTGTAACAAAGATAAATGATGACATGGTATACAATCCTTTCTTTTTCTTTTTTTCTCTAATTTTTTTTCTTTTTAGGGATAAACTAAAGTCTTAGGCATATATGTGAGAGAGAGAAAGAGTGAGACTCTACACATTTGGACTAGGGCGACTAAGTCGAGAAAGAGAGAGAGGCTCCACACATTTTGACTTGGTTGCCTAGGGTAAGATGTTTTGGGTTTTGGCATTTGGAAAGTAAATGCGTGTAATGTAGTGGGAAGACAAGTCGCTACCTGTTTTTTTAAATAGTTTTGGAGTTAGTATATAAATGTGGGTAATTTAGTGGGTAGCAGCAAGTTCAGGAGTTGGTATGTAAATGTGGGTAATTTAGTCTTTTAAAGGTGCTAGTGGTAGTGGGAAGCTAAGCCGCTACCTGTATTTTTAAAAGACAGTTTTTTTTATGTTTTCTCTACAGTATAGAAGATCTATTCTCTTTTTTACTCAACCGTTCATTCTAAATGGAGGCTTAAGATTGCCTCAATCACAATGTCACATCTCTATACTATTTTATTTTTATTTTTATTTTCTATACGTTATTTTGATGCTAAATTTTGGACGTCCATTCCTCTATTAAACTCGCACTAGTGAAAAATATAAACAAATATTTTCAATGAAATAAAATGATCAAAATATTTGTAAAAGTTTCAAAGGGTATTTTGGTTAGTATATTTATTGAAAAATTATTTTAAATATTTTTTATAGGTGTGCCCCAATGAGAAGATGACATGTATCAAATTTCATATTCATCCAACTTGTATAAAAATAAATAAAAATAAAATACTTTGAGAAACGGTGAGTGGCTCTCTTGATCAAAATTGGACGGCTGGATAGTAGGGACAGGATAGAACTTCTATGTTATAGAGAATGCATAAAAACATTTCCCTTTAGAGTTAGGAGTTAGTTTTTTAAAATGCATGAACTTTTATGTTGTAGAGAAAGCATATAAACCTTTCTCTTTATAGTTAGGAGTTAGTTTTTTTAAATGTGGATGGTAAGGAGAGAATAAAACTTCTATGTTGTAAAGAAAGCATATAAACTTTTCTTTTTATAGTTAGGAGGTAGTTTTTGCAAATAAACCTTTCCTTTTATAATTGGGAGTTAGTTTTTTAAATGTGTTAGTGGGGTGATGTCCCTTTATAGTTAAGAGTTAGCTTTTGCGTATAAACCTTCCCCTTTATGGTTGGGAGTTAGTTTTTTAAATGTGTTAGTGGGGTGATGTCCCTTTATAGTTAGGAGTTAGCTTTTGCGTATAAACCTTCCCCTTTATAGTTGGGAGTTAGTTTTTTTTAAAGGGAGTTAGTTTTTTAAATGTGTTAGTGGGGTGATGTAAATAAGAATAGAAACCACAACGTGGTGGATGGGGATGCTACCACCACGACCCCAACCCTTAAACCCTTTTCCAACGGAAAAGTATATTGAGATATATGAAATTCGTGACCATGACTGTCATAAGATGGTGATGGAGAGAGTACAACCATCGGACGATGATGAAGTTTAAAACCATTTTACGGTAGTCATGTGTATCCTTGTATATTTTCCGTGCGACCTAGATGCAAAAGTGGCTTATATGCCTGGGGATGCATAACTACATTCACATCCCTTGAGGCATCACGCATCCGAATTCATATGGGTGTGAAATTGTCGATTCTCTAAAAAGGGTTAAAATCAACGGTTTAAAATTTCCTTAAAAAAAAATTATCATTTCTAGATTTTTAAATCTATTTGTTTTTACATATTCCTGGTTTTCATGTCAGAGATTATACAGAAGTTGCCTCTACAATCTATCTCAAGAATGGATTGTGAAGAGGGGATGCATATCTACATATGAATCCCCGCACTCATAAAAACTGTATCGGTTTTAGATTGTCATTGTTTTCCTTGTTTGTGTGTCTATGTATGGGTGCGGTTTTTGGAGGGTGATCGCTTTGCAGAAAGTGGTAAGGCTGCAGCTCAAACCCCCCAAAATGGACTATTGGCATAAAAAAACTTGTGATGGCATGGGAATTTATTTCAGCCCTTGATTGGGTAATATGAAGCTCAAAACTGGTTAGACGATATGTCAAACTAGTTGGTCTAGATCTTCAAAAAGTAAAGAAAATGTCGGAATAGAGCCGAGGCAATGAACAATCAAAGTAAAGTGCATTTTCAATTAGTGTCGAGAAATGTGGTTTCAATATTGGAAATCTTTGTGATAGCTTTAAAATATTTTTTCATCTTTAATTATAAAATTTAAAGCTTAAAAAATAATGTAGATCGAGCAGATCTATGAAAACTTGAAAATCTTGAAAATTGACAGTAAAAAAATGCACTACAAGATACACTATTTTTAAAACTTGAATTATATATTTTTATCATGTTTATGCATCTTGATGTCGAGATGATCAATTTGAGGATATTTGGGTATCAAAGTGAAATTTTTGAGGTGGCCTCCAATTTAATTGTTTAGAGTCTCGACTTTATATAAAATTTTCCCATATTTTACAGAAATAAAATATATTATTTAAAATTTGCCCAACTTTATTATTTAGTAGGTTTAATCAATATTTCCTAGAACCCGTCAAAATTTGGTTTGTATAGAGCTGAGGCTCTAAACAATCAAAGTAAATTACACCTTCAAATAGTATCGAGAAATATGGTTTCAATATTGGAATTCTTTGTGATAGCCTTAAAATATTTTTATCGTTAATTATAAAATTTAAAGCTTCAAAAATATTTTAGATCAAGCAGATTTACGAAAACTTGAAAAACTTGAAAATTGACTGTCCAAAAATACATTATAATATACACTATTTTCAAAACTTGAAATCCATCTGTTTTTTCTCATGTCCATGCATCTTGATGTCGAGATGATCAATTTGAAGATATTTGGGCACCAAACCAACCACTTCGAGTGAAATTTTTGAGGTGGGCTATAATTTGATTGTTTAGAGCGTTGGCTCTATATAAACTTTTTCCTTCAAAAGAGGACATGCATCAATAGTGTATGGGATTATATAAAATGAGAGCATTTACCTTTTGAATTGGGAAGTCACAATTATATACAACTATCCGACGTGAAATCTAATAACTTGGGTGTGTCACAAAATTTGAGAAAATTTCTTTTGAACTTTGAGCTTGGTCAGGGAAATAAATGTAGCCACCCAATTTTACATTCAATGGTTAAGATTAATTGAGACAGCCTCGTACCAAAGGTAAATAGTATCATTACTTCCCATAGTATATTCCCCCATATATTACCATTATCCAACCATCCATCGTCTTGATTGGACGGTTATGACCCTTATGGACGTACTCTCCCATTTATAATAGCACGGCAGACCCTAAAAAAGCATACCCAGGCGGGGCATCCATGATCTCCTACGAACAAGGTTGGAGACGATTGCGAGGACCCATGCTCCATAACCAATGTCCATTTTGAGAACAGATGGTGGATGCCCTGCCTCTGTATCGTCCATGCGTATTATAAGAGGGTAGGTTATATTTCTCTTTAAATATCTCTCGCTAGGACTGAGGGGCCGAATTGGGTCCGGATCCATCGGGATTTGGATTCGGATTCAAAAAGTATATAGGGGATTTGGATTCGGATCGGATCCAATTGGATCCAAAACATTTGGATTTGGATCTAGATCCAAAAAGTATATATGGGATCTGTACAAACTGCAACGAGTTTAGATTATAAAATATATAAAATAGAGTTTTTATTTTTTAATATGGAAACCACATTCTCTACACTATTTTTTTTAAAATTTTTTTTCTATAAGCTATTTTGACACCAAAATTTAGACGTCTATTCATCTATTAAACTCGCATTAGCGAAAAATATAAAAAAAATATTTTCAATAAAATAAAATGACCAAAATACATTTAAAAGTTTGAAGGGGTATTTTTTATCATTATATTTTATCGAAAAATTACTTTTAATATTTTTTATAAGTGAGTCCCAATGAGAAGATGACACGTACCAAATTTCATAATCATACAGTTTGTATAAAAAAAAAAACTAAAAATAAAATGCTTTGAGACATTGGATCTAAAATAAAACGGTGGGTGATTCTCTTGATCAAAATTGGACAGTTGGATGGTAGTGAGAGGATAGAACTTCTTTGCTGTAGAAAAATCATAAAAACCCTTCCCTTATTTCAAGGGTTGCCACCCCCTGGCAATCAGGTCAAAGAGCAAACCGCCTTTCAAAGGCAGCTTAAGATCAACAGTACCAGTTACACATTCATACCTTTCAAGCTATGCATGCCTTTCTCTCCATTTACAACTTCCTTACATCAAAATAATTCAGTTCAATCTAGAGGAAGTTCTAAACGCTAACAATAAAATCTAAATAATTATCGAGAGCATCAGGGAAATCCAAGTTCAGTTCATAAAACATAAATCACTTTCCCATATTCATGCCTACAAAGAAAAATCCTTAAAATAGAACTTAAATATCTAAAATTAAATATACTTTATACCCCTCAAATATCTAAAACAAAATAAGTAAAAATAATAAAATAAAAAGTAAATAACACACTGTATCATCATCGGCATCAGCATCGTCTTACGATGCCAATGTGTCATAAAACGGCCCCGGTACTAGCTTCAGTGTCTGATTACCACGGGTCAGTGTATCAGAAACCGGCCCCGGTACTGGCTCCAGTGTGGGTGTCACTCGGGTCGGTGTGAGGTGGTACTCGGGTCGGTGTGACATCAACCGGAGGTGCTACTCGGGCCAGTGTGTCATAAACCGGCCCCGGTACCGGCTCCAATGTCTGATTACCACGGGTCAGGGTATCAGAAACCGGCCCCGGTACTGGCTCCAGTGTATCTTGGTGTCCATATCTCGTGTAGGTGAGCAGCCCCTCAATCCCATGGATCACAATGATCCCATTGTTGAACAGGTCGGGGTGAGTCACAGGCATGCCGTGAGGGTAAAATTGGAAAGTTCAGTGATGAGTATGGTGTTGCCATGGAGGAGTGTCGGGATGAGGGACCCGGCCCGGAGGCGAGGGCAGTATGCGAGGA